CTCAGCTCCTGGAAAGAGGGCCTTGCCCTGGATGTGGCAGAGGAAACAGTCCTTGGAGCAATTGAATATTCAGTGGAAATTACTGTCTTGATAGCTAGGTAGGGTCAAAATGGTATCGGAACAAGTACCAGTGAAGTTGCTCTCTACCCAGCTGGGGGAGTGTAAGGAAAAAAACAGGAAGGTAGCCATTACTAGGAAAACCAGAACCTTCTATGTTTATGTTAGTGGCCTGAGGCCTCTCAAATAAGCAGTTATAGTCATTAGCTACTCTTTTGGGGGCAAGGAATGCCCAGACCTCCAGGACTCAGAAGCCTGTGTGTTCTCTTGGCAAAAGAAGAAATAAAGTTCATTTCTTTGTGGTGAACCCAGTTCTGGACAATCTTTTTTTTTTTCCCCAACAGATGATCCTTCCATATATCTAATCACCAGCATGTGAAATTTCTCTTATTGATAAAGGAGTTTTAAAATATTTTGGGTAATTGGATAGCTATGATTTTAGTGGAGTTTCACAATATGCATACTATGTTTCTTTTTTTTTCTCCATAATTTTATTGAGAAACAAATAGCAATGAGACGGTTTCAAATCAAATTGGTAGGACAGTTTCACTACGTTTCTATAATTAAATGATGTTTTGACAAGACTGTACATTCACATGTAGTTGTAACATAGACAGATCCTGTGTCCTCTTTACCCAGATTTACCCATGACACCCTCTCGCAAAACTATAATATGGCCTCACAACCAACATACTAACACTAACACAGTCAAGATGGAGAACATTCAGCAAATATATGAAAAAATGTTCAACATCTCCAATCATTAGAGAAATGCAGATTAAAACAATGCTAAGGTTCTATCTTACCCAGAAAGAACGGCAGCCATTAGGAAAACAGTAACAAATGCTATGGAGCGAAAAGAACCCTCCTGCACTGCTGGTAGGAATGCGGGAGTGTAACCCACTACAACCATGACGCAAATCAGTGTGGACATGTCTCAAAGAACTAAGACTCTGCTCTGCCCCTGCTAAGTGTCTTCCCCCCAAGAGCTTAAGTCCTCACACTACAGTGACACACCAATGTTTAAAGCAGCACAATTCTTAAAGGCTAAATCCCGGAAGCAGCCTGTATACCCATCAACAGATGACTGGATAAAGCCAGTGTGATATCCATATATAATGGAATACTAATCAGCTCTAAAGAATGACGAATCTGTGACATTTGTAGGAAAATGGATGCACCTAGCAAGCATAGTGTTGCGTGAAATAAACCAGACACACAACCTTAAATACCATGTGATATCTTTCACTTGAGTGATGCAAAGTACAAAGAGAAGGGTGGATAGAAAGGGACAAGGGGGCACATCTCCTGCAATAGGGAAGTGGTGCAAGTTTCAGGGTGGAGAAGTGGGGAGCTGGGGAAGGGGAAGTGAGTGGAATGAAGACAGTCATGCACAGCGACCTCATAACTTCAGGGAAGGTGAACTGTGATGTGCTGTAACAAAAACTGAGATTAACAAAATCAGTGAGAATAAAAATCAGGATGGGGAATTAAGGGAGGGGGAAGGGGCAGGGGAAAAGGGATTTATAAAAACAAACAAGCTGTAGTGTGTACATGTACCCACTCCCCAAGATGACTGTATTAGTATTAGGAACGTGTACTAATAACACTTTCTTAAAGTTAAATGATGTGGAACATTTCCATCATCACAAGGATCCTTCCTGCTGTTCTTTTAAGATCACGGGCTTGGGGGCCGAGGAGATGGCTCAGTGGAATAAGCGCTTCCCTGGCAAGCTCAAGGGCCTGAGTTCAATCCCCGGTTCCGGG